GGGGGAAGACAGCACCCACCGTCCTCCTAGAAAGGAACCTGAGATCCTTTGCAGGTCCCATCAGCTGCAAGCTCCATGTCCCTCATCATCTCTTCGACCTGTGCCGAGGTGCCAGCACACCCACTTGCCTGTTTCCCCCTTTCTCCCAACTCTCTCTTGTTTTTCTGGCAAATGGTGAGATCACGGAGGCTTACACAACTTGGAGCGGGTTTTCCACTGCTGCCTCTGAGTTTCAGCCTTCCCAGCAGCCGTGACATCTGAACACAAATTGAGCAACATTAATGAGACACAAAATCTCAGCATTTTATTCTCTGCTCCTATTCTAAAATGTTCATAGGAAAGTTCACATAGTTCTTTTGAAGAAGTGCACACACACACACACATACCCCCACACAAACACCCCCCCCCACACACCAAAACCTCCCACCCCAGGGCCTGTTGCTGACTTGTGTGTGAGAAGCCAACTTGCTCTGGATGTGCAATTCTGCAGTCTATGAAGGCACAGTGGTAGATTACCCAATAGAATGGCCTTACAGTTTTATAAACTATTTATTAGGCCCGTCCTGGAGTGCTACATCAATATGGCCGTCGGTGAAGCAAAGCAGAAGCTATAAAAATATCATCTATCCCAAACAAGCTTCATAATCAAACAAAGCCCCGTGCTGGCTGGGACAGGTTTGTGTTCTGACACATAAGGGCCCTTTCCATCTTTAAAACAGACCATTAAAACACCAGAACACTTTGGCTCACAGAAGTCTAAATCAAAAGGGAGGGGGGAAAAAGAGAGCTCTTTGCTCCAAGAGTAATGATGCCTTTTCCAGTTCCTAGAAAAGCTCATTGCAATAGAGATATAATATTGCTTTTTTCATTGTGGCTTCTTAGTTTCTTTCCAACACCCAGAAAATCTCCCAGGGGTTCAGAATTTCTCCTTCCTTCCCTCCAGGAATCCCTTTCTTTTCACTCTATATGCACACAGTGACAATGCTGTGATTCCTTCAATATTATTTTGTTGTTTTCTCAATAAATAAAAATATACAGATTGATACATATTCCAGAAGGGAAATAATAGCAATAATAATAACCTGAAGTAGAATGAAATCAGCCCAGTGCTATGCTCCAATTCCCCAAGGCAGAGGAGAATAGGAAGCAGGTCAATACACTGGTGTTTACTGTGATTAACATTTCCAGCCAGTGCCCTTCCAACTGGATCCAAAACATGTCTTAATAAACTGCATTCCAAAAACCCTTATATTTCCACCTTATTGCATCTGCTAGAATGAGATATAATATGTGGACTCGAGGAAAAGTGACATTCAGTGAATGAGCTGCAGTGAGTTATATAAGGAAGCCAAATCTCATTCCCCACCACCTGGCATACTGCTTGTGGCTTCTCATCATGATTCTGGAAATCAATCTGCAACTAGAATTTGTAATGGAGATGCTCTCCTCTGGGCTGTGGGCTGGGGAAGAGGGATATGAAATGATATCAAGAGGACAGAAGACAAAAGAAGGGAAGTGGGGCTACAGGGCATGGCTGTCCCACTCAAAGTTGTACTTCCATGACTATTTTTTCCATGAGGAGGTCTGAGAACATAAATATGCATAACCTAATAAACCACAGCTAGCCAGACTATCCTGTACCTCACTCTGGGAGAAGTCTTCTCTGACATCTCAGTTGTTTTTAGATCTGGGTTGAATTTGTGGACAAGGAAGGAAAGACACAGTCTAGGCTCAGGAGACTGAGCACACACAGAGAGAGAGCAGATACAATGCCCCACACTTTTTCCCTCCCCACCTCTGTTTTCTTTTTTTTTTTTTTGAGATAGGGTCTCACTTGGTCACCCAGACTGGAGTGCAGTGGCCGCTCCCGGCCACCGCAGCCTCGCCTGCTGGGCTCCGGCGATCCTTCCGCCTCAGCCTTCCGAATAACCGGAATTACAGACATGCGCTACCACGCCCAGCTGTTTTTTTTTTAAAAATTTATTGTAGAGATGAGGTCTCACTGCCCAGGCGGGTCTCGAACCTGCGGGCTCAGGCAATCCACTCACCTCAGCCTCCCAAAGGCGCGGGATTACAGGCTGAGCCACTGAGCCCGGCTTCCACCTCCATTTTCAATCTTCATTTCCTTCTTATAATTCTAGAGATGCACCATCTACTATGACCTAGGAGAGTGTGTATTGGGGAGGAAGAAGGTAGCATCTGTAATATTTTTGTGTATTTACAAAGCACATTATGTTTTTCAGAATTTAAAATCAGAAAGTAGATTGTCTCAGAACTCCATGAGCCCTTAGGAAAAGTGAATAGAATTTAGACTGAAGGGTAATCACCCTGAGTATATGCCTGGTAGGTAATTCTTAGAGATCTGTGGACCCTTCATGAAACTGGTGATGCTAGTTAGCTACTAAGCAATCAGTAACAAAATGTTTAGGATCTATCCATCACATCGTAGCCTTGCATGTGCCATGGAGAATCAAACAAACAAATTACAAAGAGTAAACAGATGTGAGTCAATCCCACCGATGGTCAACTTTATCATGTTAATCAAGTCAGCTACACTGTCTTGTTCCATTTACCCCCAAAGAAAAGAATTTCAATGCTGAGATATATTATACAGCAGTGACCCTAAGATCTGATCTGTAAGACTAACTCATACAGTAAACCCAGTAGCACATGGGTGCCCATTAGGTTTTGAGAACATCAGTGAGAGATCTTGACCAAAGTGTTTTCTCTCTTTGGGAGATTTCTCCTTATACCCTAAAGAAAAAAACAAAAACCCACAAAGAAAAAAATACATATCCAGATGGTGTGCAAGGAAGAAAAATATTGGAACAGGTCTTTCACTTTTAAACTTCTCTTAGTAGCACAGCTGGATCTTCTATGTGAGAGGAGTTAGAGATATCTCAGTGAGAACTGCTAACAGTGAAAATGAGATGATTTTCTGGGTTGTGGTGGAAAAATGTACCGCCTCCCCAAAAAAGTTATCACTGTGGGTCCATGTGGTACCATAGCTTTAGACCACAGAGGGATTTTCATCAGTGACAACAGCATGAAGCAGAGTTCTGCAGAAGTAAATGGGCACACACGGAAATAACTCTAACACGTCTGCTGGAAGGCGATAACACCCACAAAACTAGAACAGACCAGTGGCCTCCCTGTTGCTTGAGACTGGGACCCGAAATCACAATGCCATACCAAGGAGGAGTTCTACCTTGCCTGGGCAGTGTTGTCTTTTCTTCCCTTTCAGCTTGAATCACCTCTTTTCCTCCAATCCCTACTTGTTTTCAGAGGTGGCCCCAAGTGAATGAGTGAGACATCCTGATGCACATCCTCATTTGAAAAAAATCCATCAAATAACTTATATAATGTGCTATGGTCACATCAAAATTCTATTGACATAAACAGGTGTGAGGTCTGTGGAATGCCCCACTAAATAGGATGATAAATTAATATGGACAGAACATGTTCCAAGGGCAAAAGTCATGCAAACAAAGTTTCTGGTCCCATCTCTTTCCCTGGAGGGATATTTTTATAATATCACTCAGTAAATAAACAAAGAGCACACAACATCTAGTTAATGCCTAGCTTTAAAGGTCTCTTTATCTGTTGAACAAATATTTCTTAAGAATCTAAACTTTTCCAAAAGCAATTAAAAAAAATAAAAATGTCTTCATTGGTAGCAGTTGTAAACCTAGCATTCTAGGAAAGTCAAAGAAAACTAAGGTAGGAATGCTTACAAAACCAAAGGAAGGCTGAAGTTCCAGACTTTGCACGGATCTGAAGTTTAATAAGTAGAAGCATAGATAGCTAGAATCTGAAAGTACAGTAGATGATGACTTCCTATTTTAAAATCTACATCAAGTCTGCAAAGAAAATATAAATAAGCCAAAAAAAAAAATTACTGGGCATCTTCAATCAAAAAATGCATCATTTAGAGCATACCTTACTGGGTTATTTCATTCTAGACCTTCATTACCTTTGAGCTATTTTACAACTCTGCAAGTTACAGATAATTGATAGCAATGCAAAATAGTTCATGTCTAAAGACATGCAAATACTTTGTCTGGTTCAGGTTTAGTCACTTTCCTCACTCATAGAAAAAGCCAGTTTCATGACCACTTGCAAACTGCTGTCTAGTACTCTATTTCATATATATTTGCACTTCTTTAACTTATATTTTGAAACATATACAGCATCTGCTTGGTGTTATTATTAATGAAGTTAATGATAATTTTCTGTCTGTATGAGAATCATGATATCATCTTTTATGAAGATCAGCTTTTAACAAGTAACCAGAGATGTCCATGTATTTAACCTAATAAAATAAATAACATAGATATAGACTATCATGGAATGTAAAAAAGTGTTGGTGAATGAGACAAAACTAGGACAATGAAAGAACAAGTCCTCTGCCCAAATCAGAGTGAGAATTTCCTTTAGCCATGTCTGGGTAACATTTCCATTAACTTGGCAAAGGGAGGGGATTTCCAGTAGAAATACTCACAACACCGTATGGTTCTATCTGTATTTTATATAGATTGAGATCTGCAGTTAACTGTTATTATGCCAGCACAGTTTGCTCCTGATACAGATTCAGTCACTGTCAGCTAGCCCATTTTTGGCTCTCACAACCACCTGAATTAAAAGACTCCTTCAGGTGCTGTAGGATGAGGTTCATTATTCTGGAAGCTTGCTTGACAATTCCATTAACAACTCTGATCCTAGAGTTGATAGAACAGTTCTGCAGTAACTTTTATGGGACAGTGCCTCAATGTGCCAAACGCTACAGACACAAAGAAAATGTATAATTTCAGTCCTCAGAAAAGCATCATTCATTGTCTTTCTGTGATTTTATTTTCCTGATGTTTTATTCAACTATGAGTATAAAGATTCTGAATTCTATAATTTAGGAATAAGGTACTGATTGACTTTTCTCTGACTCAACCATGAAATAAACTGGTATATAAACAAAATATATGTAAGACTATTTTCTTCTTTTAGAAAAGGAGGAAATTATTTGTGATGTCATTATTATAAATGAAATTATTATAATTCACTTAGCTGTTGTATGAAGTTCACTTTTAGTAAATAGATAAACATTGAGTTCATGAGAACCCATACAATGAGTTGACGTACAGCAGTAAAATGTCTTTTGGCATTCATTCTCCAGTAATTTTGCATAATTGTTTTACTGACACTGATCCAAAACTCACATTGCTTTTCCCACAAACAGATGCAAACCCATTAACACTGAACAGGCATACCTCTGTGTGCCCCACCAATCTGCAGGAGTCAAGAGATGGAATGCAATCTCTTGGGCAGGATGAATAGGAATTGGCCAAAGACTTCCTTCCAATGGGACTGAGAATTAGGTAGGCTTCTGAGCTCTTTCCTGAAGAAGCTCAAAACAATAATCAAATATCACTTACCTAGGGAAAGACAAAGGGAGAAGAGATAAAGGAGAGTTAGAGTTCACCACAACCACATTATGTTCCATTGAGATGATCTATTTTAAGCAAAGGGAAGTTTAATACAATTCAAGTTCTTCACAAGCCCCAAGTAAAACCCGAGTTTTAAGTACACCCAAGTAAAGGTCAGTTGTGAAAATGGAAAATTATTGCAAAGGCCATGTGGCCTGCCGTTTGTTTTCTTTTCCCTTCTGGTGTTCTTATACACGTGCATTTAACTATAGAACATGGGCCTTGTAATAAGAGACTGGTTGGGGATTTTGTGATGTGCCAAGGAAAAAAGAACAAATGCATACGACCCAGCTGCCTTGATGATTATGGAAGTTCTGTAGCTATGTGGTTCAGATGCTGAGAAGATTGAACTAATAAAAAAGAAATGAGAGAACTGTCATCACAGATTACATAGTATTTATCCCAAAATCTGTTCATTATAGAAATTTGCAAGACAAATGGGTTTTTAGCCAGGAATGGCAGCATTTTCCTCCTGGTAAGTGCATAACTAGGCACCCAATTTGTTTAGAACATGATCTCTCTCTTTAAAAAAATAAAAAATAAAAACAACAAGAACCAAAAAAACCAAAAAACAAAAACAAAAAAACCAACCAAACAAACAAACAAACAAAATGCCTGACTTTAAATCCTGGGAAAATTCCTGAAAATATTCATTAGGAGGTGAGCAAAAACAAGTTGAATTTGTACAGTTTTATACAATATACAGATGATTTTCTTAGGTATTGTCTTTGATTTTCATGGCAACATTTTACTGTGGGTAGAACAGGTATTATTCCCCACCTTTTCCTTTTTCTATAAGTAACAGGGTCCAACTTGATAAACCAACTTGCTCAAAATCACATTCATGAAGAATGGTAGTTTCAAGACTTGAAATATGTTCTCCAAGTTTCACATTGCTTTCTCTTGCTCTTTTGATCAAATTTCAGACACAATATAAAGATAGTAAATAAGAAAAATACAGAAAGAGAGCAGGATGAGGGAGAAGGGAGGAAATGAGCAAACTGAGGAATAGAGAGATAGTAAAAGGCCACTCTAGACTCAGAATGGGGAGGAAGGGAAATGGAGGATGGATGAAAAATTACCTGCCAGGTACAATGTGCACTAATGGAGGTAAAGGGTACACTTAAATTCCAGACTTCTTCACCACTATATAAAGCAGCCATGTAACCAAAAATAATGTGTACCCCTAAAACTATTACAATAAAGAAAAGTATTTTTTTAAAAAAAGGGAATAAGGAAGAAAGAAAAAATATAAAGGTATGCAAATACTTGGAGCAAATTCCTCATTAAATTAAATTACACAAGTAAAAAGCATAGAAAAGTATCTAACATATAGAAAACTCCATAAAAGTAGTTGCTATTATTGATTACTTTCATTCTATTGACTCCCTAAAAAATTGACTGGAACAGAGGATATCATCCCAACGATGGCTACTCTTGGCCCATCTGTATTAACATCTAAATGATACTGGCTAGAGGAGTAGCTGTGTTGGAAAAATACCATTCTTCAAGATAAAAGCCTCTAAAAAGAAGACCTTTGGGTCATGTTTTAATCCCTTGGCTTTGATAAATGGTTAATTTCTGACCTGCTCACCAGCAACAAAGTACATGACACGCTGTTGTATTCCAGTGGTTCTAATGACATCTTGACTTTCTTCCTAGGTATTTTCAAAAGTCTGAAACTTACCTGACATGTGCATTGCATGACTGACTACCTGTATGATAACCAGTGCAGCCATAACACATGGTATAAAACAAGTTTTGCACAGAAGGAAAGGCCATGAATATTAAAAAGAGGAAGTGGTTCACTTTCATACACATCTATAAGTTTCTTGGTGCCATGACCACTATTTGACTAAGGAAGGGAGTTTTTAGACCCACATCAACAGTAAAGGGGACTTTGGGTAGTATCATGAGATCATCATGTTTGTAGCTTTTTATTAGAAGGTCATTATAGCCTTATTCAGTTTATGACCCAAATACACCTAATCCCCTCATAAATGCTTCTTATTCACCACCCAGCACTTTCTGACACTGCTGGCCAAATAAATGGTAGCTGTTTCTACCTGGGTGATGGCAAGGCTGTTAATTGTAACACTCTATGAAACTTAATTATGCGAAGCAAAGAGGCAACTCTGGAGCTATTAATCAGAGGTTTGATTCAGAAGTAATTTGTTGTTGGGACCCAAAGAGCTGTTCTTCTGATTCCTTCCACTGTGCTGCACTAATAGTTAATCCCCTGCTTTAATGGAAGCTGCTGGGGTTGGAGCTAGGAGGCAAAGCAGCTTGTGAACGTTGCCTTGCTTATTAATGAGCAGACACCTAATTTCTTCTATTTAAGTCACCTTTAATTACAGCAATCAGAAACCAGTATCATTCATGGGCCATCAAGTACAAGTAGCCAGTGACTTATTTCCCAACTGCCAGAAAATAGAACAAAATAAAATGGATAGATTATGAAAACTGGGTTAATATGAATGAGAAAGTGAAACCAAACATAGCCAAAATTTACAGAGGAAAGTCATTTGCGTCATGTCTGAAAATTTTTTAAAAAGAACATACAGTATGTAACTTTCTAAGAGGAATGATTTGTGGTGGACGAGCAGGCTAATGGGAAGAGGAGAAGGGATCACTACCTGACAAAAATAAAGACACACTCTCACCACCACCACCACTGCTATCACTGTCACTAAACACCTTCAGTGGAGCCTCAGGGTCCTCGGCATAAATCTATACATCCATTCACTCAAAAAGCATTTATTTTTCACCTATAAATTGCTCCCCAGCCAGGTTCAGTGGCTCAGCCTGTAATCCCGTGCCTTTGGGAGGCTGAGGTGAGTGGATTGCCCGAGCCCGCAGGTTCAAGACCCGCCTGCAGCGAGACCTCATCTCTACAATAAATCAAAAAATCAGCCGGGCGTGGTAGCGCATGCCTGTAATTCCGGCTACTTGGAAGGCTGAGGCGGAAGGATCGCTGGAGCCCAGCAGGTCGAGGCTGCGGTGGCCGGGCATGGCCACTGCACTCCAGTCTGGCGACAGAGTGAGACTCCAACTCAAAAAAAAAAAAAAAATTGCTCCCCAAGCTAATTAGATACTGGAGACAAAAAGATGCACCTGCTATGGTCCTTTCTTCCAGCAAGCTTACAGTCTAATACAAAGGATGTGCAAGAAGGTAGTAAGCACAGTAGTGCAGAGGTATGGAAATCACACTGGCAGGACAGGAAAAAGTGGGATTTAAAAATAATGCAGAATTAGGTTTGCAAAAATTAAGAAAGAAAAAGAAGTGATGAATCTTGGAGAATTAAAAAAGACAAATTGACTGAGATTGAGCAAAAAAAAAGTTTTAGAATAAAGTAGAAAAATGGAGAGAGCTTGGTATAAGGAAAGCCCGGCTCTCTGATGCCAGCCTAATCTTCATACTTCTCTCCCGCTGCTCTTGCGTAAACTCTTTTTAAGGCAGGGGTGGGGAGGAGATCACTTTTTTCTCCCAAACATCTTTGTTCAACCCCTCTTCCAAATCTTTTGTTCTTGCTGTACCTGTCAGTAATGCATCCTCCATATTTTTCCAAGTTCTACCTATTCTTTAAAGGTAAAGTTGTCTCAAGTTCAAGTGATTTGTTTCCTCTAAGCACAGCATTGTCTATATCACTCATGCACCACTGAGTCACACATATTTCCTGATATGGTTACTAATTCTTCAAGTGGGTGCTTCTAGTCTTAGTGATACCATAAATACTTCAAGAGCCTGGGTAGTGTAATAGGCAGAATAATAGCTTCTAAAAATATCTGGTCTTAATCTATGGAATTTGTAAATATCACCTTAGATATAAAAGAGTCTTTGCAGATGTGATTAAGCTAAGACAGTGATGGAGATATTATCTTGGATGATCTGGGTGGGCCCTGAATACCATCACAAGTGTCTCCACAAGAGGCAGATAGAGGGTGATTTCATAAAGACAGAAGAGGAGGAGGTAGTGTGACCACAGAGGTAGAGAATGGAATGATGCAGGCGTAAGTCAAGGAATGCTTGCAGCCATGAGAAGCCAGAAGAGGCAAGAAGGGCATTTCTCTAGAGTCTCCAGAGACCACAGCCTTGGCAACAAATCGACTTATGCCCAGTGATACTGATGGATTTCTGACCTCTGGAACTGTGAGAAAATACATTTCTGTTGTTTCAAGCCACAGGTTATGGTAATTTGTTAGAGTAGCCATAAGAAATGGATACATCATTATAATAGCTCCCCTATCATAGTCATTCTAGATATGGGTGGCATTTAGTCATCATTACATTGTCCATGGTACAATTAATGCAATGCCATGCCTATAGTAGCCATGCAATATATAGTTTTTGAAGTAAAGAAGAAAATTTTATGTCACTTGAGAAATAATTTGCTCACGAGCTTTTCTATAGATTTTGGAAACAAAGAATTACTTTGGGAGGCTGAAATAGAGAGACAATCTGCTCAGAGGTATTTGTTGCTTAAAGATGAGGTTTTCAATTTGGTCTTACTCCAAAAATACTGATTTGAGATTTTCCCCAAAATGAATAAAAATTCCAATCCCAGATCAGAATGTTTATATTGGTAACACTGATAGTTTTTGATAGGTATGAGGATATGTTTCATATGTTTAGGTAAATGTGGCTTTAAGTCTTTGTTGGATTTATTTCAGAAAGAATATTGATGTAAACTTATTTGATGAGCTCAGAGAAGAAAAGTTGGTTGGCCCATTTAAAATAATCCCTCAACATGCAGCTTAGGCAGTGTACATGGCTCATTTAGAGTAAATATCTGCTTGTCTGTGCATATTCATGTGTGGAGGGTAGGGAAACAATCAGGAAGAAACTTAATCTGAACACTAAGTATTTATAAAATAGTATGAGTATGCATTAAAATGAGCTAATATAATTTCACCCAATGATATATTTAGGATCCATAGTCAGAAATTAT